ATTTACACAAGGGCTCTTCCTGATTCAGGTGCCCCAGTAACTTTGCTCCACCGAGACTTATATGGCAAGCACCTGTCCCTACAATAGGTAAAAGGGGAAATTTCTGCTCCAATACCCCAGATCTTTAAATCTATGCTTGATACCTGCAAATAAAGCTGTCATTGGCCCCTTAATCAGGAACTTTCGACAAATCAGCCGTTGTGTTTTCTCGGCCTCTTGGATCTACAAAAAGTTCTCAGAGCCCTACAGACCACCTGAGAGCCCACCTGAGAGCCGTACAACCCCCCTAAGAGCCACACAGCCCCATGAGAGCCCATACAGGCCACCGGAGAGCACGCAGAGCCTACCTGAAGGACCTTATAGATCCCCTGAGAGCTGCACAACCTCACTGAGAGCCCACACAGCGCCCCTAAGTGCTGAACAGTGCCTCTGAGAGCCAGCAAAGCCTACCTGAGAGCCGAACAGCCCCCCAGAGAGCCCATACAGACCACCTGAGAGCCCACCTGAAAGCCCTTCTAGACCACCTGAGAGCTGCACAGCCCCTCGGAGAGCCCACACAGCACCCCTAAGAGCAGCACAGTCCCTGAGAGCCCTACAGACCAGCTGAGACCCTGCAGAGCCCACATAAAAGCCGCACAGCCCCCAAAAGCCTGTACAGACCACCTCAGAACGGCAGAGCACCCCTGAGAGTATTCAGATCTAATTACAGGTTTGGCACTTTGAGATACACAAGCTGGTTTAGTGATCCAGTTTAGGCACTCTGGCTCAAAAAGGTTTGCCATCACTTGCCTAGATTGTTCACTTCTGCCTTCTCAAACCTATTCACCCTCCTGTGAATACAGCAATGGCCTAGCTCTCACTTGGTGGTTGAAGGCATCAACATCCATCATGCTTCTGGCTTCTTTCTCCATCCCCTCTGCAGCCCGATTAGAGTAGAAGTTTCTAGGGGAGGAGCCGTGTTGGATGAAAACATGGGTTTTGGATGCAATTCTACTGAAGTCTATGGGGCCAAACACACTTTGTTGCACCAAAAGAAGCACATGCAGCATTTTTAAAAACACACAACAGCAAAATCGTAAAGATGTGAACAGGCACCATAGGAAAAAATGGGATTCCTCTTGCCTCGCATTATCCCGCGATGCGCAAATCGCACACACGTGAACGAGGGCCAATAACTTTGCCTTTGTGAAGAGCTACTGTAGTGGAAACTCTGTTACATTCCTATCTGAGTGTGGCAGCATGTGGCAGACATTTTTTTAAGGTCAGAATCGCACCAGTGGATATTGTGAACGGTGTGTGTGTATTTTAATTAAAACACGTGGCTACCATGTATGTGTGTAAAGTGTAACTGCTTAGTTAATGACCCCCGATCACTTTCAGTCTGCTGGTGCTCAGATTGTTGTCCAGCGAACTGGAATATATTTGCGTAAGTTGAGGCTGTGGGTAATTTGTTTTGTTTTTTTAATCTTATTTATTAAGCAGAATAGCAGTTTGACACAAATATGTAACATTAGGGACTGCACGCAGGCATCCTACATTCCAGCAAATAAGAGTGTGCAGCACAGTAAGGATAACAAAACCTCAAATGAGTCAATGTGCTCCAGGGCACAGTGGCTCATCAGTTTGTCTTGACCTATGGCCTTCAGCATCATACAAGCCACTGGTCAATTAGAATTATACACCATTAAGAATGTGTAATCATTTTCCAGTGTAAGCTACATACTTTCTGTGCTTAGATTAGGGTTCTTATATCTAAATGTAATCACTGGTTGCAAAAAAGAACACTCCCAGGTATAATCCAAAGAACCATGAAAAACAAAGTCAGGCCACAAGGCATATACTGAGGCCTAAGCACGGAAGTAGAAATAACCTAGCATAGTTTACAATAGTACAGTAGATCAAAGAGTAAGAGTTCCACAAGGGATCCAGGAAAGAGAAAGTTGGAAAAGTCAGCAAGGTAGGGGAAAGAAATGTAGAAGGAAGGGGAGAGAATGGGAAACGAAGGAACCTGCCAAACTCAACTCTCAACTGGAAAGCAACCCAAGCATCAGGCTCCATTGCACAGGGCTATAGGCCAACACAAACCCAGGGCACGAGACCCCCACACAGAAAGTAGCACTAAGAGCAATATGTGCGTCCACGCTCTCCAGGTGTTATGGACAGTGGCTGTGAGATCCTCCAGATGATAGATCTCGTTGACCCTAGAGAGCCATAGGCGGAGCATAGGTCGACCTTCAGAGTGCTGGGATACACGCTTTTGCGGCATTGAGCAAATGAACAGACAGGGATGCTTTGTATTGGCGTTGTGATAAACTAGTCATGTGTAGTAGAAATACTTCAGGACTCAGCACCAGTTCCGGAATCACCATTTTGTTCATAATGTCTCCCACCTCAGTCCAAAATCTAGTCAGGGAGGGGCAACTCCAGAAGATGTGGAATATGGTGCCCACCACATCTCCAACATGTATCAGGGACGGCTGGGTTAATCTTATGTAGGACATGTGGGAGTCTATACCATCGGGACAAGATTTTATACCCCTGCTCTTGGAATCTGTTGGCTATCGAGCATTTGAGAGCAAAGTACACCCATCGTGTCCCTCTGCCGAGGGGAAAACGTATCACCCAGGTCAGCTTCCCACTTCAGTAGGAACTGAGGTGTAAACTGAGGAGATGGGGCAACAAGGATCCTGTAGATCAGAGACAGTGCATGTCGAACTGGCACCCCCAGACCACAGATGTCCTCGAAAGGAGTCAGTGGCCTGTCGACTTACAACAAGGCAGGGATAGCCAATAAGATGTGCCCGAGCTGATAAGTACTCCAGACATTCAGAGGGGGCTCCACCAAAGTCTGAAGAGCAGATACCCCCATCCAGTGTCCTCCAGCACGAAACTCTTTGATACGAAACCAGTTGACCCCCAACTAGACTACGTAAACGTCTGTTCTCCATGCCTGCAGGAAAATCATGATCTCCGATCACCAGGGTGAGCGGAGGAGGGAATGGGGAGATCAAGGAGGACCGAAACAAAGTTCTCTGAGTGTGTAATTGTCAAAGTGACAACTCAAACTTTTTGGATTTCTGATATTTTTTCCCCCAGTACTTACCGATACGGAATACCGGAAGTCCCCATTAAGGAAGCCAGGCAGCGTGAATAGCTGGGAAGCCGGGCAGCGTTTAAACACTCGCCTCCCAGCTTCACGTTTAGCAGGGAAGCCATCTCCATGCTCCCTCGTCACCAGGTGATGAGACAGCATGGAGCATGCTTTCTGGCCAATCAGGATGCTGGGCAGCGTGTAATGACTAGCTATCCGGCTTCCTGATACCAGGACCTTAAAGTGACATTAAACCCTCAGATGTTTTAACATAAAACAATACTGTAATGTGTGCCTAGGTGTCTGTGTATACGTTTCTATAGGCTTGAAACCTGAGCCAGCACTACAGGAAGAGGCACTCAGCTGCAAAGGGAAGTTCTCCCCCAGCATGAGAAGACATGAGGATTTAAAAGGAAGAGCAGCAAAGAGAAGGGAAACAACCATGGATTACAGTAAGGCACACATTACAGTATTGGTTTATGTTAACAAATCTGAGGGTTTAATGTCACTTTAAGTGTCGGGCTGGGCATTTGGGAGAGTACGAGTATTCGCCCAAATCCTCGGCATTGGCACCGATACTAGTATTGGTATAGGTGCATCCCTAATTTCCTTTCACTTTTAGTACCAGAGACAGTGGTCACCAGGACAAAGAGAGTGGGTGAATCTCCCCAACAAGTACGCACTCTATTGAAAACAATTTAAACATGTTTTGGCTTCAGATATACTTTAAAGCTGAAATCAAGGGAGATATCAAAAAATAGAGCTCTGTAATCATTAAGTGAAGTTTGCAAATCCAAGTGGAATAATCACCTTCATTTGACCTGGTATCAGCCTCTTGCAGTCTCTGCACAGCAAGGCTAGAGTGTGAGCGGAAGCAGCACAAGAGGCTGATCAGCTCATGTGCTGACAGAGAAGCATGCTGATAAGAGGAGAAAGCAGAGTGACAGACAGATGAACAGTCTGCTGCTCCTTTCACTGTCCAGTCACAGGCTGGGGACGGGTCCAAGACAACCTAGGCTCAGAGGAAGTGGATTGAATGATGGGGCAGAAAATGTCACTTTGGGGGAAATCGCCATATTTGGGGTTATTATGTAGCAAAAGCGGATTGTTATTTTATCTTGTAATGGTCTATTACACTATCTCTGATTTTAGCCGGAGTTCTGCTTTAAACTGCATGCAATTATCCCATTTTTTCCACTAAATTTAACAAACCTCGAATGAAAAAGTGAACCTCTAGCTCCACTGGCATCTTCCATGTCGTGCTGTGTTACATACTAGTCTCTCCAGCTATAAAACACCCTACCAATTGATTTGCACGTAACATTAGACCAGCGCTTCGCGAGCTTCGATCTTCCGTGTCTGCATAAATGAGCCACGTCAAGCTGCCTCGCTCACACCTGTCATTGATCAAGTACCAGCGGCCGCCCTCAGGCCCCGCCTCTCGCTAGACTATCTCCGCCCCCTCCTTCTCTGCGCGTTCTGTGACCATCTTTGGTAACAGACTGAAAGGTGAGAGAGCTGGTGACGTCACTCTGCACACACGTCACGGCGCGATCTCAAGATCTACAGATCAACGAATGATACATCCTACCAAAATAAGGCGGGTACTACCGGCCATATTTACTTTGGTAAACACGCCCACTGTCTCTGCCGCGACTATAGCGAGCAGCAAGCTGTTGACCTTTTGTCCGCCCGAGGCGTAACAACCGCATTCTCCCGCTTCAACTTTACCGATTTCTTCCACCACACAGCAATAACCGCACCCACAGCTTGTGTTTGCCAGAATACAACATGAACGGAGTCGAGTCGCTGACGTCACCGCGTCACGTTAAGTGGCAGGAGGGCAGCCAATGGCAGAAATTCTGGAGCAAATCAAAATCTCCGCGCTGTAACTGCGCCCATGGTCGGACACGCCTATTTATCATCACGCGGAAGTGATTTCCCGCGGCGAATGCTGGGAGGAGTCTGCCGGAAGTGGGGCAGAGAGTGAGCAGCGGCGGAGGTGAGTAGGGCGGGGTAGGAGTGTCATTCGGTGCTTTATGTCGGTGTGTGACCGGGTACCGAGTGTACAGTGTGTGTATATAGTGCATATCATATGTGCTGCTGTCTCTGTGTGTTTTCTCACTGATTGGACACTTGTCACCTCTGCATACTGTCACTTCGCAGACTCTGACATTGGCATTTGCAGTAGCGATCAGTCCATGTGGGTATAATATGGGATTTATTAGTACCTAGAGCAGTTCTGTCCCCTGATTTATAACCGGCAGAGTTCCTGTGCTGTCAACTGCTGTGTACTAAACTCTGGCTGGCGCCCAGCAGATCCTTGCAGGAGAGCAACTAATGTAGAGATCATTGCTGTAACAGGGTGGGTGCCCCATCCTGCCAGACACATGCAGCTCAACTTCTGTAATAATGACAACGTTTGGTTCCTCATGCAACTAGGTTCCTCCTAAGAACTGTCCGGAACGTACCCAGCTTTTATAGCTACCTACTCAGCAGTAGTACTCGATAACCTTAATGCAATCGCTGTACAAGTGAGTCAAGGCAGATGGTGATTGTCCGATGACAGGATGGAAGATGGGGAAAGTGTCAACCAGCATATTCTGACGCCCCTTAGACCCGAGGAAGCTGTTTGAATGATTAGCAAAATGTTAACATTACTAAAGAAGTTCAGCTCAATGTGATCAACAACTACTAAGTATCTGGCAGGTTGGGGCACCCACCCTATTGTAGCAATAATCTCTACATTGATCGGTCTGCTGCAATGATGTGCTGGGCACCATCCACAGTTTAGCTTAGATGATTTGACAGCACAGGAACTCTGCTGGTTAGTCGGAGCACATTACAACCCTATTCTACACAGGCAGCCTACCAGCATTTATCCAAAGCAAACATATTCATTTGGGGCATGGGTAGCCAAACTCTGGCTCCCCAGCTGTTTTAAAACTACAAATCCCATGGTGCATCTCTCTTAGGAGCCATGGCTGTGAGAATCTTGCGATGCCTCATGGGACTTGTAGTTCCACCGCAGCTTGAGGGCTGGAGTTTGGTTACCCCTGATATAGGGAACGTAGCCTTTCACCAGATCACAGCTTGGACCGATCAGCGAGGAAAAACGTACAGAAAAATCAGTTTGCCCCCTCATTGTCGACACCAACTATATCTAAACGTTAACTGAGCTGTAAAATACCCATGATGGCAGGAATATGTGCTGTACATTCAACATAATATACAAGTTTGAAGACATTAAACAAAAAAAAATTACACAGCATGGAGAAGAAACGTGTAAGCTTTATTTTTTAATGAATTGCTCCACAGATGGTTCACTAGCTTTATTATTTCTGTTTTAGCGTCCCTGCGATGTAACAGTGACCATAGCTGCTCCTAAACATTAGAGGACAGTCTGATGTACATGCAGGATCCGACCACCTTTCAGTGTCTTTTGGCTGCGGTATCCGCCCTGAACACAAATGTTTTGGTCAGACATGTTCCTGTTTAGGCAAGGGAGAGGGGGGAGGCTTACGTGACTGTCCCACTGCTGGCTTATATATGGGAGGAAAGTTGGGTAGTGATCACTTTACCCTGGGAACACATGTTGGGGACTATCACCTGTGGACTATGGTCTGTAAGTACCAATGGTGACAATTTGCAGAAAGGTTACATAACGGGATGTATTTTATTTTGATAAGACCGGCAGTAGGTGGGTTGTGCATTCATGGAATGTGGAGGTATATGCACAGACTTGTTCAGGTACTTCCTGTATCGGTAATATAAGCTGAATAGCACAGTTAGTTCTTTTGTTCTTAGCGGTAAGGAGATCACACTTCCTCCTTCTCACTACTTCCTTGGAAGATAGACTGCAGTGTAATACTTTTTGTCTCATTTATACTCTGTATTTTAAAATGAAACCTTCTATTTTATTAACAATTGTTGATTTGTAATGACTTTACAATGCATCCTTTGCTTTTCTCATAGGATAAAAAAACATGGCAGACATGCAGAGCTTAGTTGTACGCCTTGAAAAGGCAGTGGGGAAGCTGGAGCTTCTCGGAGGTGGTTCATGTGGTGGTGGTGCAAGCCCTGCAGGTAACCTCTGTCCTCCTGTATTTTAAAAAAATATTTTTACAGAAATGTATCACTATGTATCTGCTTAGTGTACACTTTATAATACTTTTATGTAAAACTTTTTGTTAGAAGTGGCGCAGTTTGTTCATGCTTATGACTCGCTCGTGAGTGGATCAGTTGAAGACTTTTTGAAACTCAGCAAGGAAATTGGTGGAGATGTTCAGAAGCAAGTAAGTTCCTTAGAGAATTGTGAACTACAGCAGCTCTTGCATGCATTCTCTTAAACTTGTCATATTTGTATAGCAGTGAGATATATAGGTACAAAGTCTTTGCTGTTTTTGCATTCCTGTAGGGAAGTCAAAAGGACAAACCATTCAGCCCTATAGTATAACAAATAAATGTGTATATTCTACAACTTTTTCCATCACTTTGTCAGAGGAAGCCCCAATTGCTGGCAAGATCCCCATTTTTTTTGTTACATAAAAAGCAAGTGAAAGATTGAAGAAACTATGTAGATGCATGAGTCATGTGACTATTTTTAGCTTACGCCTCTGGGGTTTTCTTTAAGGATTCTGTTTATAAACTATTCTCAGGGCTCTTTGTGCTCCAAATATCTGTGAATGTTTCTTTTGCGTATGTATGTATGTATGTATGTATGTATGTATTCTCAGCTCCATCTAGTGGCCATATTGCAGGATTGCATCACAGTGCATTCAAGGGCATGTTCACACCACAACCGGCATGGTCCATATGCGTGCGCATTTTTGATGCATTCCAGTGCATTTTTAAAAATTAGTATTGAGTTTAGGCTCATTCTCGTGCGTGTATATGCGTTTCTGTGTGTTCCTGGGCATATAAAGCATGCTGCTGTCTTTTTTGAAAGCTCTGGAACTGAACGCAATGGTGTGAGCTAGCCTCATCGAAAACCATTGGAATCACTGTTTGCATTTTTGGTGCAGAATAAACAAAGCACTGGCCTGGAGATGATGTGAACAAGAAAATATTTTATGAACATTTGTTTTTACCATTATTTGCACTAAACGATCATTGACAGATTTTTACAGGACAAAGGGCACTGAAAATTGTTTATAGACTCCCAAGTGTTATAACGCCAGGTTTTTTTTGGGAGGGGTAGAGGGGGGGGGTGGTTTGTGGTATGTTCCATGTGTGCACTTGTATGACTGCACATTGTAACAGTACGGGTTCTGGGGACTTGGAACCCAGACATGATTGTTTACTGTGTTCTCCATTTTGTTCCTCCAGTGCAAATATGCAAAGGAGGATTAATGTAAGATTATATTTGCTAGGTGCAGCAGTTTGAATTTCTTCTACCTAAGTCTTCAAAAATAAGACTTGTCTGTCTATATTTTACAGTGTCCTGTGTGTTATCAGTTCATATGCAGCATCCGTTCACTGTGTGCAAAATAAGGGAGATGACAGATGCTGGTTAGAAAGAAATGCTGCATTTATATTTTACTTCAGGGCTCTCCCTCTCCATGGTGAATATTAAACCACACACACACTTTTACATGTTGTTCACAGTTTGCATTAATTTCAGTGGAAGATCACAATTTGGAGACTCCTGCGAAACTAATGTATTCTGTTGGACACATGCTCATGAAGGTGTGCTGGCTGGGTAGATTTTGCCTAAATGGCTGGGCAGCATTGGGAGGCTGCACAGTGAAGATCTAGAGTCCGGTGATTTAGGTAAGTGTATGCTATTAGGACATATTTATGGTGGAGGAAGCTGAAGGATAAGTGCTCTAAAAGTGCAATTATCCTTTTAAGTATTCTTGGCATGCTTCCAAATGCTGTATTGGAAGTGCCATGTCTACTGCATTACTGGCCTGCTTAGTAATGGAGCTAAATTTACATTGAATTTGACCCATAGATTTTTTGTAAGCTTATATGCTTGGGATTATGTGATCATTTAAAAAATATAGTTACTTCCTTTTGAATAAAAATACATTGGCATCAGCATAAATTTGATATATTGATGTATTTGTAATACATATCCATTTAACCACTTGTCGGCCGTTATAATAAAACGGCCAGCCTGGAGCTCTAGATCTGAGCGGGCGTCCCTTCGCGCGCACTCGAGCGGCAAATGCCGATATTTGAAAACCGGCAGCGATGCCCGTTAATATACAAGCGATCCGCCGGCTATAGAGCCGACGGATCGCTTGCATGAGGTCCCGGGATGTGCACCCCCCTCCCGCTGGATCCGGGCTCTGGTGCGAGCCCGGGACCAGCATACTGCTTCGGTCAAAGGGGATCAGAGGGAGGTCGGTACACGAGCTCCCTCCAGTCCCCTCTCCGCTGTCAGAATGCGGAAGTCCAAAATGTAAAGTTACAAATAAAAAATAATTTTTTTAAAGTCCCCCCATACATACACGCATGCAAACAGGCGTTGGGTGCGCATATGTGCGAAAACGACGATTTCGCCCATTACGCCGCACATGTTACATATCGACGTGAATGTCGGAATGAGAGCAATAGTTCTAGGGCCATCAATCACTGATAACACTAAACTGATGAGCTGAAAAAGCTTTTAAAGCTTCGCCTATGGTCAATTTTGGGTATGGTAGTTTTTTGCGGTGCGCTCAATTTTAAAGCATGACATGTTTGGTGTCTATTTACCCGACGTGACCCCGTCTTTTATATTTTACCAAAAATATGGGTAATAATCATTGTTTCCTAATAATATAATGAAAAACTTTTTTCCCCCAAAATTTTCAATAATTTTTCCTTTTTAATATAGCAAAAAATAGAAACCCCAGTGTTGTTTAAATACCACCAAAAGAAAGCTCTATCTGTCCCCAAAAATGGTATAAAATTCATTTCAGTACAGTGTTGCATGACGGAATAAACATCAGTCAAAGTACCGCAGCGCTGAACACTGACAAATGGCCTGGCCAGGAAGGGGGTCTAAACACCTGGTCTTCAAGCGGTTAAAGATGATTAAAAAGTAATTGGTGATACTGTTTTTCATGAGGGTATTTCTTGCCGAGATAAAACTAATGCAATTGTGCAGCAATATTTAACAGAAAAAATAACGGTTATAAGTAACTCTTAAAATTGACAGCCCTCTGAAAAACCTATTTTTTTTAAATATAGGTGCCCATTAACATTAAACTGTTTTCTGTTATCTGATAGTGGAAGGCTGAGTTGCTTTTTTTTTGTCCATTTTATACTATGGGGATATTTCACCTCCTTTCCAGTGGTCACCTGAATAAAAAGAAACAGGGATTCTCTTCAACAGGCACATGAAGAACAATGAAGATATGTTTTGGGTTTATTTTGTGTCTGATTGAAACCTGCCATTTTTTCTCTTTTCCACAGGCAGAGCTTGTACGTACTGCCATTACTCTGCAGCGTGAAGTTTTGGTAAAGGCATCACAATTTCAGCAGCCAGATGAGGTAAGCGTTGGATCCTTTTATCATTTTGTAAATTTTACTTTTTATTTTCTTTCTAAAAACCCTGAGATTACATTTTATTCTGGTCCTGCCCCTTATAGAAGGACCTTGCTGCTCTACTCACTCCCCTCTCCAGGCAGATTCAGTCTGTTCAGGACTTCAGAGAGAAGAATCGAGGCAGCAAACAATTTAATCATCTTTCTGCTGTAAGCGAAAGTGTGCCTGCCCTTGGATGGGTAGCAATGGTGAGTGGTCTCTAAGAAGTTAATCAATTGACTCATCACAATCTTGTTTTTCTTCTTTATATGTTCATCTCTGACCTTTTCTGTTCTTTGTTCAGGCTCCCAAACCTGGTCCCTTTGTGAAGGAAATGACTGATGCAGCTACGTTTTACACCAACCGAGTGTTGAAGGAATACAAGGAAGTGTAAGTTATTAAAGTTGCGATTATGTGGATTGGCCATTGACCCTTTTAAATGCCAAGTATGGTAGGAAAGTATTCTGTATGAGTTCCACAATGGAATACAAGCAGCAAAATGCTGCTTTATAATGACCAGGAACAGCCCTTTCTCTTTGTGTATGCAACCCATAAACATTGCTTTAAGAGGGTAGGGCATAATCTAATCTGTGCTGGTTTATTGTGGATTAGAGCAAAGGCGTGGGCTGGCAGCCATAAAAGTATTGCTAACACCTCCCCAGATTTTCAGAAATTTTAACTATTTTCCCTGTTTGCATATTTAACTCTTATCACTTTCTGAAGCAGTGATAACAAAAACCGATCCTTCAAGGTCTCTCTTGTATTTTACTACGTAAAACATCTGTGGGGTTACTTTGAGGGGTTCAGTAAAGCATTGATCATTTTTCTATTTCCTGCTGTGTTCATTTTGTGTTTCTTGGCAGGGATAAGAAACACGTAGACTGGGTTCGTACATACTTAAACATTTGGACGGAGTTACAGGCTTATATTAAGGAGCATCATACAATCGGCCTAAGTTGGAGAAAGACAGTAAGTCACATTTCACTCCTGGTCCACCGCAGAAACCTTCCTAACCTCATTAGCACTTTTTTGACATTTGTACATTGTTCTCATAGGGCCCAAAGGCTAGCGTTGGACCAAGCGCACAAGCTCCCTCTAGGGCTGGGCCACCCCCTCCCCCTGGTGGACCACCTCCTCCCCCACCACCTCCAGCTTCTGCATCTGCTCCAAGTGATGACTCAATCAGTCGATCCCAACTGTTTGCACAACTCAATCAGGGAGAGGATATCACTAAAGGTAAGAGAGGTTGTTTGAGAGGATTCTGTGACGAAACAAAATATCTGTGTGAGAGGTCTTCGATGGATTCTTAGATTCCAGGGCTTCTTACTAGTTTCATAGTGGTATAGCTGGACCTTTTCCAGTTTGCAGAGAGTAATTGTAGTGGCCCAGAAATAAAACTACGGCAACTTCAATCAAAGGATTTCCATTGTAGCTGAGAGCAAAAAATCCAATTTTCCAAGCTGCACACTGGAAGCTACTGTAGATTTCCTTCATATGTGTACAATAGGATGTTAAAGCAATCTCTTAAGCCTACGCGGTATACTAAATATTTATCTTTTAGCTGTAGAAATGTGGCTGTGTTAGCTGTAGGGTTTTTTCATTGCATTGAACTTGCTTTACCAGTTCAGGAAAGGCGTCTTGGCACCAGACTGCATTTGCAAAAGAGTATGTATGTGAATATATCCACCGACTAAATATATGTATTTATATTTCGTCGTTAGAGCTCAAGACTTCTTTTTCACATCCATTACTCTCTCTACCATCAGCTACTGTAGGTCTTCCATTATCCTAAGGCTTCATTTAAGATTTCAGTTAAGAGCCTGAAAACACGCAGTGCTCTGGGAATTTTTTTTTCTTTTATATACTAAATATTTAGGTTACATTTGTTACCTAAAACCACTTTAGTTTTCCTTTTAGTTGGCCATGTTTACACCTGATGGGTTGCCTTAGAAAAATATATGCCTGCTGCATTTTAGTTTTTTGGCCTGCATTTTTTTCCCCTTAAAATCAGCTAAGTTGAACATTGGTCAGTAATCAATAAATAAATCTATAGGTATGCATGAAGGGAGGAACAAGTTGAACTTTCAGATCAATATCCAGCAAAGAAGCATCACTACATTATAATGTCACCTTTGGCTATGTGAGAGAACAAAGGTCTTGTGTGCTTTTTTTGATAAGCACTGTTAGTCATACAGTGTAAAGCTGGCATAGACATACCAGTTGAAAGTGCTTGCATTTTTCAATTGTCATGCAGTGTCTTTTGGCCTAGCTTAAGCTTAGTTACCTTTTACCATTCCTTTTTGCTGTCTCATCTGATGGTACTTGTGCAAAAAGGCTGTTCTAAATGCTTTTTTTATTTTCCCTTCATTCACCGCTCCTTTCCTCTGGCTAAAATTGTAATTTTTTTGGACTATAGGCTGACCAAAGCCAGTAGTTTCACAGAATCAGGAAAGGAGGGATGATGTCATTGTATCCAGACAGATTGTGTAAGAACTGACTGCTTTTCATTAGTCTGATTCCCACTCGAGTTTTTACAGCTTCTAACTTGGTCTGATGGAGTGCTCTGGCATGAGACAGGGAATAATAGAGTATAAAGCAGCCTCTATGTACAAAAACGTAGGTTGGATATCAACATGACTAGTATGGTTTAATTTAATGGGAGCCAGTACTGAGAGAGATGCAGAGGCTGCCTACTTCTGCAAAAGTGAGTTACCTGGCTGTATCTGGCCTTAGTACTTTGAGTCTCTGGCCTGAAACAAGCATGAAAGTCAGAACTTCTAACATGCATATTTGTTCAGGGTCACTGATTTAGTTCTGTATCAGCATGATCAATAGGTAACCTGTGTTTTCAAAAGGGAGGTCAGCAATGGAAGGTTCTGTACTTCGTTGTTGTATAACAAAGAGGTCTGCAATTCAATATCGCATACTAATAAAACTTGAATACATTGCTTTTGTTCCACAGGCAATAGCAGCACAGGAGATCTGCTTTTTGCTGGGTGGTTGTGTAAGGCTGGGGACACTAATGTTAAAACACTAAAGGTTTCTCGACTATCTTTCCTTTTAGCGTCCTCCCTGTCATGCGTGACAGAAGCCATAGTACATCTGCATCCTGCACCTATATGTGTAAGGGCTCATGTAACCAGTAACATAACAAGCCCTATATATTGTACTTTTTGTTTTGTCCCTTAGCCCTGAAGCATGTATCTGATGATCAGAAAACTCATAAAAATCCCACACTGAAAACTCAAACTGCTCCAGTTAGAGGTGGACCAAAACCGTTTACAAGCCCGAAACCATCACATGTTGCATCCCCTGCAGCTAAACCTGCTGCTAAGAGGGAGCCTGCTGTGTTGGAGCTGGAAGGCAAGAAATGGAGGGTGGTAAGTAAAACATTTTGTAGTTATTGCTAATATGGGACAAAGACGATACCTGCAGCCAGGAATCTTGGTACCCTCTGCTCCTAGCGATTATTCCATCATCCGGTTCCTCTTAAGCTCTGTTGGGTGTGGCCGAGGTGGCCTTTCAGCAGAGGTTTTTACTACAGTCTTGCCACTTTATGCGCCCAAAGTGCCTTCTCCCACTCATTCTGCATCTGATTTACCAGTGGCTTCTGAGCCACCAGTCACTGAATCTCCATCTGGTTCTGAGTCGCTCTAGTCTTTCTCTGATCTTAATTCCTGAGGAGTCGCAGTTCACTGCTATTCCTGCCAATATAAGAGACTGCTTTGGTTCTTATTGATGCAGTGTGCACCACTCTGAAATGAGGGGGTCAGCCTGTTGCTTCTATCTGTGCTGTTTCTTGTCTTGGATTCTTTAGAGCCCCCGAAGGCTACAAAGACTTTCCTATTGTACCCGCTGTTCAAACTCTCTTTCTTTGTAGATATTGGAAATACCCTAACAAGATGTTTGCCCCAAATGCTTATTAACCTTGTACCCTTTTGAGGAGGATTTTGTACAAAAGTGGTCTACTCCCACTGTGAAACTGGCAATGTCCTGCTTTAACAAAGAAGCTGCCATACCGGTATAGGATGCACCCCTCTTTAAAGCAACACTAAACCCAGGAGCTAAATCTTAAAAATGCATTCAAGTAACTTAATGATTAACAAAAATTTATCTTATTTGAGTATCACTCAGTTGTGGATCCTCAAATCATCTCTGAATTGGTGCTGACACTGTCCTTCCTTCTGGAGGGTGGCTACTTTTGTTCCCCATGGTCCCTGCATGCGTTGTAAAGTAGTCGCCTCTCCAAGCTCAACCTCCGTGATTTACTGCAATATCAATACAAATTAGTAAACTAAACGTGTGATTGTATTCCATCACAGGAGTGAGCGTGGAGCGGTGGCTACTTTTGTTCCTCATGATCTCTGTGTGTTGTAAAGTAGCCACCGCTCAATGCTCGCTCCAGAAGGTAGGACAGTGTCAGCACCAATTCAGAGATGATTTGAGGATCTACAGCCGAGTGATGCACAAATAAGATACATTTTTGTTAATGGGTAGTGTTAGGGATGCACCGATGCTAGTATTATCGGTACTTGTACACAATACTGAAAAACCTGTATTGGTGCATCCCTAGTTGGAGCACTTGAATGCATTTTTAAGATTTATCTCCTGAGTTTAGTGTCACTTTAAGGACCCAACCGATAATCAGTTGGAAGCCCTGTTCTCTATTGCTTGGCCCTTGTCTTTAATGCATCTTGGCTGTGACATTACTGTAACAATCCATGGCTGACTGGTCGAAATACCTTAACCCCTTCATGACTGAGGCCCTTTTTTCAATTTTTGCACCCATTTTATATTCCACATTTTAGGCCTGAAAATGACGTAAAACCCCCCAACATTATATATTTTCTGAATGCCAAGACCCTATAGAATAAAATGGTGGTAGTTGAAAATTTTTATGTTGCGCAATATTAGCGCAACTCCTTATTAAACCCCAAAATTTAGTGACAAATTTAATTAAATGCCCCAAAACACAACAAATTACCCATTTTTTTAATGAAATATAAAAGATGAGGTTACAACGAGTAAAACGATACCCAACATGCCCAGTTTACAGATTGCGTGCGACCGTGAAACGGCGAAAAACTGCAGTACCCCAAAAAGTCAATAAAAGACACTTTAAAAGCCCCCACAGGTCATCAATTTAGAGATGCCCCAAAATACTGGCCCTAGAATTATTGCTCTCACTCCGGCGTGCGCGGCGATACCCAACATGTGTAGCGCGTTCGTCGTTTTCATGCGTAGGCGCACCCGACGCGTGTTTACGTGGCGACGCGCGTGCTCGCGGGGGCGGGGTACTTTTAAAATTTTTTTTTTATTATTATTAGATTTATTTTATTTCATTTTAATTTTAAAAACTGTTTTTTTTTTTTTTTTTACTTTACTTTGACTGCTATCACATGGGGGGGCTTGCAAGCCCCCCCATGTAATAGCAGATGGTGGTGACAGGTCCTCTTTAAGGTGATGCTGGGGGTCCAAAAGACCCTCAGTGTCACCTTTACACTGGAAATAAGCTATTGAAGTGCAGATCGCACTTCAATAGCTTATAGCTGGGCTGCAGGAGCCCAGAACTGACAGCCCAGGGACCGGAAGTGATGCAATCTGCATCGCTCCCGGTCCCATAGAACGGGGAGGGGATCGATGAACGGAAGTTCGTCGACCTCCTCCCCAGCTCCCCGCGGACACAAAGATCGCCGGTCCCGGGCCCGTAGGAGGGGCAACGGAGCCCGGGAAGCACGGCGGGGGTGTCCGGCGGGGGGGGGCAGCCCCTTCTTCAGGACGCAGAAGCGATCTGGCGACAGGTAAGTCGCCAGGATCGCTTCTGTTGTAAAGCCGACAGTCAGCTCTACAAGTTTAAACAGACTCCCGGCGGCAAAAGTCGCTGGGAGTCTGTTTAAACAGCCCCGATGCTGGCGACGTACACTGTACGTCGTCAGTCACGAAGGGGTTAAGAGAACTTAACGATGCTGCTGTTGATCCATTGATTATAGAACACATGGCGCAAATGACTGTAGCTTTAAACTTCGGTTGTGGCTGCCTGCTGGGGGCTTGCCGACTCATCTCTTGCATGTTAGTACACAGGCTTGGACAATTTAGTTTAACGATGCTGGACTTTAGAACCCAAGAAAGGTCTGATCTGCATGGTTTTTAAATTGCATGTCTCTTTTGGGTCTTCTGTTGGTGCCATTCCTCAGCAGAAGCCTAAGGAAAAGTTTTCTAGCTCCTTTATCTGTAAAGAAATGTCCCTTCAGTTTCTTCACTCCCTCACCCTCCACATCAGGACCCCCCCACCTGGGCTCCCAGTCCACCCGCACGGTCTGAGGCTCAAAGTCTGCCAAATCTCAGGCAAGCTAAGACTGTGCAGGAGTCTCGTTCTCTTTCAGTGTACTGGACCATCCTGCTGAGGTCATCTGATCCATTTAAGCAGTCATCAGTTTAGAGTTGGTCATGAATATTGGCCTGAGATTTATTGCTCTCACTCTGGTGCATGTGGCAATACCTGACGTGTAGTGCAATCGTCATTTCCGTACAAGGGTGCACCCTACGCTTTCAACGATTCTTATCGTTAATGTCAACTAGTTTTTGCAGCCCTAGTCTCACCACAACAAGAGCGGTAGATAGTCTTTGTAGAACTTTTTGTTTCCACCGTGTACATCCTAGGCATACAGTTAGAAAGTCTTCTCAGCCAACAGAGCTTGGACCTGGGGGAGTTCTAGGAACTATGTCACAGGTAGGGAATGCCATATGTGGAGCTCCTGGCCTCTAGGTTTAGCAACAAACTGGACAGGTTTGTCTCTAGGTACAGGGATCCTCTAGCAGAAGCAGTAGATGCTTTGGTGGCTCAGTAGGATCGGTACACACTGAACTATCCCCTTTCCTACCCTGAAGATTCCTACTCATTTGCTTCACATGATTGAGATGGTGGCACTCATGGGCATTGCCAGGTTATATTGTCTCAAGGACAAATTCGCTATCATGTTTTCATGGTCGCAGGTAGGGATGCACAGATACTTTTCGATTACCAGTGCAGATACTTGGCATTTACATGAGAACTACAAGGGTTGCAGCTGGGACCTGGCTCTGGCACTCCACCACTGTCCTGAAATCATTAGTCTGTATTGTTTTAGAAAAACTGTCACATGACAATAAACAAAAATATATCAGTACTCGTACTTGTAAGTACTCGGCAAGTACCAGTACTCGTACTCGCAAAACTGGTATCTGTGCATCCCTTTATTTATATTTATAAAAACAGAATCATACATTAAAGCAGAGATGTACAAATCCCGGGAGCTCCGTGTGCTCCTTACAAATGACAGCTGCCTTCTAATTTTTGAATTTTTCTCTATGGTAGTTTTGGAGCTGTAAAGTATCGGTACATGTACTCATACTTGTACCGAGTACTGTACTTGGTATCTGTGCAACCCTAGTCGCAGGCTTTAACATGGATGCTGAAACACCGGTTTTGAGAGACTGGCATTTTGGAATCTGCGACTCTTAAAATGCTTAAGGCTAGGAGGGCTACTCCCCTGCAAGTTATGTCATTAGACAGAGAAGGCATACTTGGGCGTGAGTGTAGGGGCTGTAGGATTTTCTTTGTGGGACCAATGCTCTCTTCTCTGCTGCTGGGTCTAGACCAACATTTGACTCCCGGCACTGTCAAGGGTCAGGTTTCTTTTTTTTGTGCTAGTGTCCAATTCTCCTGTAGGTGGCAGTATAACCTGAAAGTGAAATTTGCTGTGTTCCTCAGTGAACTCCAAGAAAAGGATTTTATGCTACAAAAATCCTACTTTCAGTTAATCCATGTATTGGGAAAAATAATTTGAAATGGCTAATATACATGATATGAAAGTTTCAGTGTACAACTCATAGATAGAAAATAGTAAAGGCCTGACCTGTACCTGCGGAGCTGACTTTGTTTCTTTGAACAGGAACATCAAGAGAATGCCACCAACCTGGTGATTAGTGACACTGAACTGAAACAAGTGGTTTATGTCTACAAGTGTGCAAACAGCACCCTGCAGATAAAGGGCAAGATCAATTCCATCACTTTAGGTAAGCACTGAAAAGTCAGCTTTTGAAACAAATTTTGGATTTCTGTAGTGGACAAAGTAAGGACAGCCATATTTCATAACAAAACTTTTGTGTTTTAATACTGGCGGATTCCCTTATTTTTTTTTTTTTTTAAGAAGGCCGCACTGGAGCTTTCTGGCATCAGAGGCGCTTATATTATTTTTTTAATAAAAAAAAAAAGATACTGTTTTTGGGGTACAATCCACCCTGTACTGCGATGCAGCACAAGAACACCACATAATAGAGCACATTCATGCAAATTTAAATTACATCTGATCAGCAGCATGTTGCCTGGCGTGTAGAACAAGACAAAGGCCCTGGGCCCTCCATGCTTTATCCAATACTGAATGTGTGGTCAGTAAGGATCCACCAAAGATAGTTGGCGGCGTGATATCAGACATGCAGTGCCAGAGTATAACCCCAGTTCTGCACGTTCTATATGGCTCCACACCCAAAACCAACTTATGTACATTAAAACTTCAAAAAGCAACAGGTATGATGTGAGATAGGGAAGAGATGGATAAGTGAGGGGTAAAAGATCACAGGCCCAAAGCTTTAGTGAAGGACAAAGACACAAAAGGAAATCCTCTCAAACGTCCTCTTTCGAGTCTATAAGGTTATAGTCTCTGAGCAGACTGAACCAGCCTGTGACAGTCCTCAATGGACCTCCTCTCCCTCTGGAGGGTGAGGGGCATCACAAAGTGTCCTTGAAGCAACACCATTGCCATCAATCTCGTCCTCTGTAAATGTGCTATAAGACGGCACCCCAAAGTGAGTAATTGCTGTCAGTGGCACAGTCTTTGAGTTGATATCCCAGGGCCCCCAACAGGGGCACTGCCAGAAGAGATGCAGAGCAGTCTCTCCACTAATATACCATGGGCAATGTCAGTATCTGCAGAGGATTCTGGCATACATGAAAGTTCAGGGGCAATTGTTGGCACACACAAACATGTTGAAAAAGTTCTGCATGTACTGTGTTGTAGCTCTGAGTTATGGAGGGAATTGTAGTAGATCCCCACAACATCCAAGAATAGGCAAATATCTTGCCTCACCATAGTTTCATCAATCATACCAGAACCCATGTAAGGTTCATGTTGTAATGCATAGTTACGCTGCTTGTCACTTTACTTGCCTGAGGAAGGAACCGGATAGGGTTTGAAATATTGCCATACACTGTAAGACCACCTTGATCATGTAAATAAAGAAGATTCGACGTATAATTTTGGAGCGCCAGTGGTTTCTACTTTTTCTTATGGATTGACTGGCTGTGACATCTGCTTCCACCTATAATTATTAGGTTTCGATTGTGTTTAGGGGTGCGATGGGTTATGACATACAATGCAAAGTTAATTGCATCCCAAGCCACATTTAGTGTGCTGTAATTTAACATCTAAAATAAATGGTGCAGGGCCCACTTTTTGTGCATTGATGGCCTGTTTTTTTGGTGATAGTGTGACCCCTTTTGTTTTCTGAATAGATAACTGCAAGAAGCTTGGCTTAGTATTTGAAGATGCTGTGGGCATTGTGGAAGTCATCAACTCACGTGATGTTAAAGTGCAGGTGAGAATTTTCATCAAATTAAATAGAGGTGCAACATTTTCTTATGAGCCATTTAAGTTGTTAGGGAAAGCAAAAAAAAACAAACCTGTTGAATGATTTAAATGGCAGTCCATGCATTAATGTAATGAGCAGTAGTAGTGTATGACCTATCGTCTTCTCTACAGTTGTAACACCCCCCCAAAGCACAACAGACCATCTGCCTCTGTTCCCTTTTGAGAAGCGGCTCCCTTTACTACATTTCATTTGTTTGAAATGTAGGATGTTGCTCACTATTTAGGCCACATTGCTTCCTGCAAATGTCTGATTTCAGGCACACAAGTCAAACAGGAAGTAAAGCAATAGTATGTTTCATAATATATGCACTGTAAACTTTGCGTACCATTTTTAACTAAGTTTGGGGGTAACGTAAAAAAATTAAGTATGTTCCCCAGTCAGAAGAGATTTTCCTGTTGTGGACTAAACTTTCATGGTGAACCTTTTTACTTTGGGAACGACTTTTGAATAATGTACAAAAGCTAAATACCTTAGGTTTTTTTCTTTACCTAGGTTCTAGGTAAAGTGCCGACAATATCTATCAACAAGACAGATGGTTGCCATGTTTACCTAAGTAAGGATAGCCTTCATTGTGAGATCATCAGTGCCAAATCTTCCGAGATGAATGTTTTGGTCCCGGGAAAGGGAGGAGAATTTGTAAGTATACACTTATTTTTTAGCTCCGGTCTCCAGTCAAAACTAAGTTTGTTATTTTTTTTTTTTTTTTATTCAGTGGGAAAGCATTAGAACCTCTGTTGGGTATTTTTTTTTCCTCACAGCATTCCTGATGGTGAAGACTTTGACTTTATTCTACTTCCAAGGGGAAAACTCTGTAATGGAGTCACAGAGCAATACAATGTCAGAGGTTTTAAACTTACCCCACTTTATCAAAAACAATAACATTTTGCCAGGAGTTAACTTTTAAAGTGAACATGTATTACACCCTAAAATGAATTCTGTACAAGATTTCTACTTTGTGTAGCATTGCTCCAAATGGCACCTTGACCAAATGGTGTCCTTTTTGGTTGCCAAGACATTTCCATTGGTCAGGGCCATAACTTTTTTTTTGTGACATGCGATGCGCTTTTTTTTTTTTTTGTGACATGCGATGCGCTGAAACGGGAAACGGCGCAATCCGCCTGGCGCGACTGGGACGGCATTCGAAAATAATGGCACCGCCAGCGCGTTCCGCGGTGGTGGGCAACTCTGTGGCCACGTGGCAGTCCGCGCCTATCGATCGTACAAGTGTGAACCTGGCCTAAGAGGCCACTTATAAAACAATCTTTATAAATAACATTGTTTCTCAAATTGACAGTGGCTTAAAGGGAACTATGGCCACAACTTGTATATAATGTAGGCTGCCCAAACCATAAATGCTCTTATATTTGCATAGAATCTCTGTAGTCATCACTCTCTGCAATTGTCTTGAACTACGGTGATGCTTGAGGTTGTACAGGGTGGGTGAATCCATCAGAGTTGTAAATGCTGATAATCTTTTCTACTCTGCCTGTCATTGGATGGCTGCACCCACCTCTATTTATTTAGTCTTGTCCATTGCACTGTTCATTAAGGGCCAATTCACATCCACTGCTGCGCTCAAATGCACAGCGGCTGGTGTGTTGCCCAACACAGTGCTGATGTGCCTATCTCAGCATATGGCAATGTTTTTTGGTTTTTTTTGGTAGAATTTTACAAGTGACATTGCATTCAGTTCTTTGGTTACAGCAGGGTGCGAGGTGCTTGTACTGCATTGCATCCCACTGTGCTGGGGAAAAAAATAAAGCATGCCGTACTTTTTTTTTTTTTTTAGTGCACACCACCGCATTCCCATTGCAGCACATTGCTGTGAATAGTACCCATCCGTGACATGGAAAATGTACTTGTCTTGCATTGGGGCTGCCCCGGAAACAATGACCAGTGCAGCCCCAATGCATCTGGAGTGAATCCACCCTACTTATGAATTTTGGCAGGCGCTTGTAGGAAAATTCAAATGCAAGGCCACTCTCTCCTTCACGATCTGTTGATGGCTGCTATGCCAGCAAGATTTACATACAATAAAACATGTAAATTGCAAAGGTATGTTAAATATAAGATGGTGGTTTGACTTTCACCTCTGTTGTGAACTTTGTTATTGGTCTTTTTATTTTTTCACTTTTATTATATATGAAGTTTAGTGTTTCCTCTTCATGTACTAGTTGAAGTACTCAGCAATAACTTCATGTATTTTGTCTCTTGCAGAGCGAGTTTCCAGTGCCAGAGCAATTTAAGACCGTTTGGAACGGTGAAAAGTTGGTTACCACAATTACGGAGATTGCAGGATAGATGTTTTCATTTGCTTGCAGTGACATGGGCTGGACACCATGTTCTACTCAGCCCTCTGTGTTCTCTCTGCTGCTTCTTTCTTCTTGGGGATTACTCTAGCTGTAGGGTAGAGACCTGATCCTTGCAGCCTTACGCTGATTAATGTCCTACTGTAACACATCTAATTAGTGCCAGAAGTTCACCGAGAGCTGCTTATGCTAATCTGCTGCCCCACCCCTCCCATGCCAATACAAAGGGTAGGGGCTTTGACTGTCTGCTAAACCATTCTAGGTAGTGGCTGGATGACCAATAAACTGTTAATTGGACCAAAGGTTAAAAGCACTTTCTTAAAGGATTTTTTTTTTCACCCCTTCCAACACCCAGGGACCATTACAGCTCCCTCCCACAGAATATTGTCCATAGCTTTTCAGCACATCCAGGGTTTACTTTTTATACATGAATATGCAATGGTTTTCCTTGTTCTCTAAAGTACTTTTCCTGGCCTATCACTTCTGTACTGATCCACAAACTAATATGCCAATGTGTTCTAAATATTTTCAATGTGTTGTAAGCAGGTTCTGTTCCAACAATAAGGGAATAGGAGCAGTCCCTGATAAGACTGTGGAATATACACGTTTACAAATCAAGCATTTTATTAAAGATTCAAAGTGAAATGTACAATGTTGTCTTTCATTTATGTTCAATTACAACAATAGCAAAATCATGATATACTAACAATGTCTGCACATGTAGCAAAGTAATAGAAGGTATTTCTGCTTTATTAGCTCCACCTATAAGCATCTAGCACTTCTAAAGTTAATATTTTTCTGTTCTACCTGCATCGGAAGAAAAATCCAATATCTGTGACTCCATGTTTAAGACTTGCCTAATGGATCAGGTAATGTTTACTGCCTTTAACAGTCTACCGCCAGTGATGGCCAGTGTGTGACCTTTGCAGAGTGGACTCCAAACAATAAAAAAAATTGGCAGTTTAGCCTCATATTTTTGTCTAGTCCTAGGAAACCTAAAGGACTTGTTCATTCCTGCCCATGAGCAAAATGTCTCCCATGGAGGCACAGACTGATGAAACATTTTCTCCCCAACAAGGACCCAGATGGCAAAAATTATGGGCCTTTTTTGAACCAAAGATTGCTATGAAGTGCTCGTATGACATATTAGGTTCCATAAATCAAACATTTAAATTTTGTTTTTTTGCTTGTTTAAATTTAAAGCTATACAGATGTCCCTATTGTTTCCCTGAATGCAACAAGACAAAAACCACACTTGTGTTTTGGTATTAGAGGAAATATGCAATTGGTACATGATTAAGACAAAATTAATGATAATAGTGCAAGCTTAGATTTGCAGACAAAAGTGTACATCCTTGCCAATATTGGACAGCCATATTCACTCTACCACAATCTGATCCATTTTATGTTAAGATGTGTTGTCACATCTGTCTTTCCTTAATGGGAATGTAAGTGCCTTGTATTTTTTTTTAAAATAATATTTCGGACTAAAACATGAATTTTTAAAGTGCTTTCATTTTATGTTTAGTCAGATCAACATGAAATACTGCATACAAATATTTTGTATTTAGCATGTCACAGCAGGAGGTTTGCTTCTCGCATGCCTACTAGGCTCAGTGTATAGAATGCCTTTTTTTTTTGTTTTAAATAGATAAGGGATAGAACCCATGTCAGGTTTTTACCTTGTAAGTTTAATATACCCTCTCTCCATTTGTGAAGAATTCAAAATTGTAGTTGAAATGGAACAGAGGAAAAGTCTTCCACTGGCCACACATGCTCTGGTGATAACAGTCTAATGGGACATTTGCCTCACACAAATGTCCCATTACAAATGTTGGTGAGCTTGCCTCTTACATTGTAACATCTGGTCTTGAAGACACGAAGTATCTAAACCAAAAAAATATTTTGCCGCTTACAGATCTTAATTGTGGTGGCTGCATTAGTTTTCTTTTTTGCAGCTGGCAATCCAGCCAGTAACACCCTGTCTCTGGGTGGCTCCATGCTGTGGCAGAGTAACAGAGCCACCCTTAGACGGCAGCAGCATCAGTCTGTGGAGGGTGGAGTAACATACACTAGTAGATTTAGATGGACTTTGTTAACACTTTGGTGTTGTTTTTGTCCCCCCTTTTTGGGAAGGATTTATTTTTTATTATGCATAAAAACTGACCACTGTAAGCCCCCCTCTGCCTGTCAGTGTTAAATGGTGTGTTTCTACCTTCCACTTTTGCTGGACAGCTTGGTCTGTTGGCAGTCTAAAAATAACAGAAGTACTGGCTGGATCACCCAGTGAAAGTAAGGGAATAAAAATTCAACCAACCCCAAGGATTAGAAAGCTACAAAATGTTTGCCTTTGGGATTGGTTACACTTGGGAGATTTTTCTTTACCTAAGATCCCTATCAAGGAAAATAAAAGGGCAAACTCTTCATTGGTGATGGCCAAAAAAAAAAACCTTCCCACTGGAGTCAAATACAGTAGTAAACAATAGGTTCTAAACTTTCTCCATTAAATGAAATGTATCTGTTATTCTGGAAACAAAATAACTCGGCATAAATCTTAACCCTTGCAGAGGGGTTACCCCTGCACTGCAAGCATTAAACCCTGGTTCACACGAGCGTTTTACAGCGCGTTCCTATGGTCTGTAAAACACTTAACATGTGAAAACCAATGATTGCCTATGGGCATGGTTCCCACCTGGGCGTTTTACAGCACGTAGGAACGTGCTGCCCTACGCCCTTGTAAACGCGTGTTTGTCACGCAGTTTTTTTTTAACGGTAAAAACGCACAACAAGCACGCATATTCGATATGCCTAGGTGTGATCCAGCCTAAGTGCTCGATTTTATGTCTAGGGACAAAAATATACTTACTCACCTGAATCTTGACACTAGTTGGCTGTTAGGCAGGTCCCTGTAGCCTGGCTCCTCCACTCCAGCAAAAGAATGTCCCCTGGCATCCTCACATCCTATACACCAGTGGTGGCAAACCTTGGCACTCCAGCTGTGCCAAAACTACAAATCCCAACATGCATCTGCCTCGGAGTTATGTCAGAGCCTTGCAATGCCTCATGGGACTTGTAGTTCCAAAACAGCTGGAGTGCCACAGTTCACCATCACTGCTATACACTGTATAGGACCTTAGACCACCAGAGTAAAGAGAGGATGCTGGGACCAGTCTAACAGACAGGCCACCTCCAAGGTTTAGGTGGGTATAATTATTGTTTTCATCCCTAGACAAAATCAAACACAACCTTTGCCGTGTTGGGGTAGCCCCACTTCAAGGGTTACAAATATTTCTGCACAGAGTTATCCTTTAAATGCTCCGCTGTAGTCATTTGAAGAACAGTAAATGGGGTTTATCAACTGAAAGACTAGAAGCAAATTTTCTCTTCGCTTAGTAAATGAGGATTCCTTTTCTATGTTGCTAGACAAAACTTCCCTGCATTATCAGACGAGTAATAACATTTCAAGAAGAAGAAAAAAAAAAAATCCCATGTACACAAAGTGAAGACATTCAGGGCCATGGTGATGCTCTCAGAAATGCAGCCTAACAATTTTACTGGTACCCTAGTGATAAGGTAGAAATAATGTAGTAAATGAATGCTTCCACTTTGTGGGGAGTATGTGCATTGTTATTGCTCCTAGTCCTAATGGTAAGAGGTTCAAGTTATAGTGAATGTTAATCTAGTGCAATTGGCAGGAATGCCTTTTTTTTTTTAGGAAATAAGCTGCAAAAACATTAGTGGAGGAAAGGCAGGATTTTCTCATTGAACCATTCTTCTGAAAACTGGAGGTGGTTACCATCTGCAGCTAAGAACACCAGCTTTCCAGCCTTGTCCATCTCTCTCAAACCCAAGCGATCCTACAAAATAACAGCAACAGAGTATATCATTAATGGTACGTGTCTTATGTTGGATAAAATAACAGCGTATATGCTACAATGGAGGGAAGTTACAAGTGCCATGGGATTTTCTGTAAGTCACTATACTGCCAAGCACTTTGAGACAATAAGATAGGAAAAAGGCCTTGTTGACATGGGCTTCCAACTGTATCAGAGCTTTTACAAAGTCTTTCAAGAGCTTTCAGTAATCTTTAAGTTGGTAAAAGTACCATTTAGTTCCAGTTTGGGAATGTTCGTGACACTAAACTCAGGAGTTAAATGTTAAAAATGCAAGCACCTTACCTATTACACAAATAAGATACATTTGTTTATCACTCAGCTGCAGATCCTCAAATCATCTCTGAATTGGTGCTGACACCGTCCTTCCTTCTGGAGTGTGGCTACTTTTGTTCCCCATGGTCCCTGTGGGTGTTTAAAGTAGTCACTGCTCCAAGCTCACTCCCGTGATGGACTACAATGTCAATACAAATGAGTAAACTAAATGTGAGATTGTAGTCATCACTGGAGTGAGCTTGGATTGGTGTCTACTTTACAACACACACACAGGGACCATGGGGAACAAAAGTAGCCACCCTCCAGAAGGAAGTGTAGTGTCAGCATTAATTCAGAGATAATTTGATTATCTACAGGTGAAAGGAGCACACATGCAATGTACCACATCACAACACACTACTGTGGTAGACTGAGTTGAGAAAAATAGTGCAAGAAAATATGAGAAAGAAGTCACATACAGACTAAAAGATTTTTTTAAAAATTAAAAAAGATTCCGCTTCATAAATGATTAGTAAAATACAGGTCAATACTAGTGATGGGCTTGCAGCGCCAATCACAGGCACTGAGACATCTCTGCAGCTGCGGACCAGGAACATGTCTCAGTGCCTGTGATTGACGCTGTTAGCTTCCTGGCGGACTCGGCACGTGGAGCTGCAAACACGCACGAGCCCATCACTAGTCAGTACTAGCCAACTGCATTATGATATAGAAATAGTTGCAATTGTTACCTCGATATACAAGGAGCTTTCTTGCAACATCACGACCTCTTTGCTTTGTCCAGGCTTATAGAATCCAAACCACTAGAGAAATAAATATTAAGAAAATCACAAGGGACTGGTTAGGCTGTGCTTTATCTAATATTAGCTGAAAAGACCAATTACTTGAATGTGTGATCCATTAGCTAAGGCAATAAAGAGAGCGAGAGAGAGCTTTTTCTAACCTCTGTGTCAGCAGGATCCACCATGGAATCTTTGAGGAATTTCACCATGACAAACTTATTCAGAGCCTGGAGATTGTGCTTGTAACTTTCATTTATACCCTAAAACAAACATGGTACAGCTGATGAGGCAAGAAGGGCCATCGGTTAGAAACAGTAGTCAGAGCAGTAAACTAAATAAAACGTTTGATTTAATTTGCCAGGGGGCATTGGCACTTTTGCAATGTCTATGTTAATTTAACATAGACACTTTAAGTGTGTGGACAACGCACTGACAGATTGCAGGTAATCCTGTTTACCCCATCCACATCTCTCCGTTTCAAATCTGATTTCTACTCTCCTCCCTCAACATGTGTTCCCTACCATTGCTTCTCACAATTGTGTCTTCTCTTCTTCAACTTTCTTTCCTTTATCTCCCCCATCCCACAGATGATATATTTCACCCTCTCTCCTGCCATCTTCCCTACTACTGCACTCATTACCTCCTGCTCATTCTAAACACACATGCTAGGATTACCTACAGTACACTGGGGAATGTGCGCTCATATAAAACTCCCTCTCACGTCACTCGCCCTTCTGCTTCTCGACTTCTGGGGATCTCTCCCAATCCTGGCCCTCTATCTTATAATACTCACCATCCAAACTAGCATTGCCTTTCCTCTAGCAGCAGCCGCAACTCACGCACCTTCATTTTTATTTCCCTGCTTCCTAGAACAAATCCTCACTTCTTATGTGCCCTATGGAATGCCCGCTCTGTCTGTAACAAACTCACCACTGTGCACGATCTTATCTCCAATTCCTTTAACCCCCTGGACCAGTATCTCGCTTTCTTGAGGACTTCTTTGCCCGACGACCCTACTTTCTCTCCTCAGAAATACCCACTATCATTCTTGGTGACTTTAACATTGCTACTAACATTAACACCCCAGCTTCCACTCTATTTCTCAACCTAACCTTCTTTTGATTTAACATGGGGCACATCCTCACACTCACTGTGATGGCAACATACTAGATCTTGTGTTCTCTCACCTATGCACTCCTTGCAACCTCTCCAACACCCCTTTTCACCTCTCAGACCACAACCTTGTAAGTTTCATACTCACCCTGTCCCCAACTTTGAATCCCCCTAAACAGCACACTGTCAGCCAGGGAAACCTTTGCCACCTCAACTTTCTTCTCTACTCTACTACTGACTACCTCTATGACAAAGTCTCACCCCTGTCCTGACCTGGATATTTCTGTCTACAACAGCTCGCTCTCATCCTCCCTAGACACCTTGGCTCCCCTCACTACACGCAGACTTAGACCCGGTCCACTACAACCATGGCAAACAGAAGAAACCAGACATCTAAAAAGACATAGCCGCGCTCTTGAGCCACTGTGGTGGACAACTAGGTCTCTGCAAGACTTCACACTCTACAAAGCTGCCTTCCTAAAATAGAATTCCTATTCCAGACTTATTCTGTCACTCTCATCCAGACCTCTATTATGTCCCCCACCAACTCATTCACTGGCCAGGACATTGCCATTCATCTAAAAAATAAAAGATAGATGCAATTCTATCTTTAGACGTCCGCTCAGACACGCCTCTGGGCGTGCGCAAGCGGGAAACAGGTAGAGCCGGCGGATCACGTGTATGGGGTGCCGATCGGTTCCTCCCCCCCCCCCCCATTTTTATTAGCCCCGTATGTGATAGCAATTAAGTTTAGTAAAAAAAAAAAATTTAAGTTCCCCCCAAAAATTGTTTTTAAAGTTACACATAAAAAAGAATAAAAAACCAAAAAAAAAATGTTTTAGTCCCCACCCATACATACACGCATGCAAACATGCGTCGGGGGCAAAAACGACGATTGCGCCCATTACGCCGCACATGTTACATATGGCTGCGAACGTCACAGTGAGAGCAATAAGTCTAGGGCCATCAATCACTGATAACACTAAACTGATGAGCGGTAAAAGCTTTTAAAGTGTCGCCTATGGCCAATTTTGGGTATGGTAGTTTTCTGCGATTTCGCGGGTGCGCGCAATTTTAAAGCTTGACATGTTTGGTGTCTATTTACCCGATGTGACCCTGTCTTTTATATTTTACCAAAAAACTGGGTAATAATAAATGTTTCCTAACAATGTAAAAAAAAAATTTCTGTAATTTTTCCTAATTATAGTAAAAAATAAAAACCCGCAGTGGTGTTTAAATACCACCAAAATAAAGCTCTATCTGTCCCCAAAAAATGGTATAAAATTCATTTCAGTACAGCGTTGCATGACGGAATAAACTTCAGTCAAAGTACCGCAGCGCTGAATACTGAAAAATGGCCTGGCCAGGAAGGGGGTCTAGACACCTGGTCTTGAAGTGGTTAAAAACTGGATTGCATGTGTCCAAGTGCCACAGATTTGAATGGACAGCAATAAAATACAGACGTTCTAAATTTACTTCATCAAAGATGAAAAATTAACAAGTGTTGGCTGAAGTTGGTCTTTAAAGTGCCATTTCTTTTGCTATCACATATAACACTAAATGTGTACAAAGGCTGTAAAAGATTTTTTATTGCTGTCTCTTTTGTGTCGCAGCTCTTTAGCAATCACTAGATGACACCTGTTATGGTATGACAGTATGCCGTCAGCCAATTGTAAAAAATAAAGAATTGCTTACTCCTTTATGAAACTGAAAACAAATTGTTTTATACCATACAACTATAAGTTTGAGAATGCAGCCTTTCAACTTACCCGCTCCTGATTGATATCTGCCAGGAAAATGCTGCCATTTCTGTATTCCTCTTCATTGAGTGGATCATGCCAATACTCTGCTTGCACCAGACTAATAAAAGAAAACAGAAACTCAAGCTAAGACTAAATTCTTGTCCAGTTCACTGTGTACAAGATTAATTCTATAGAAAACCAATAGACTTTACATTACAATATACAAGATGGGATTTCTTCACTGGATCCCCATACTTCTGCTTATACTCACTATTCCTGCAAGGCCTTGGAGTAAGCACCCCTATTCAAAAGCTTTCTGATCCAGTCACAAAAACGTGAGCGTTCTCCAGGACATTGAGGGAAGCCAAAAACCCCTACATTAATACAAATATATAAATAAACACACGGTTCAATTAGATGTCTTCTAGCATGAATATCTCTTCTACTGATCAATAAAACTGCAACAATGTTACCTAAACTGAATATGTTCAAACAGTTTTCTGTGCACTATGGGGTCTGCAATTACATTGCAACATCACAATTTTGCAAACAAAAGCCATATTTCACCCAGTATCCATACGCTCAACATAGGATGAATACATTGCTGAGTTCTTAGATTTGGAAGCTTCAACAAAAATATTTCCCTAGCCAACTGCCGGTACCGCCCATGAGCTCCACTTCTACTGCAGAAAGGGAATCCCCTGACTGTTACATGAGGTAACATAATAATAAGCCTGGCAAGTCAGCAGACCTGGGAGCTCAGTTCTCACCAACAGAACTCCTAAGGGGTACAAAGCTTTTGTGGGAATTTCCACCTACCAGAATGTATCTGAATGGAAACAAATGATTGGTCTCAGACTGACCATTTAACTATGTAATGCAAGGATTTTACGAGGCTCGTACCATTTCCTCCTACAATTAATGTTTTCTGGGTGTATATTACATTTTGTAGCAATCATATTTGGTATATTTAATTAATTCACATTAAACAAATATGCCCAGCAAATTATTTCTTTATATTTTTGTCCAAGCACTTACAGTCATGATGTTTGAGAACAGCTGACTCCAACTCTCTCAGCTCAGCTTCCTGTTCAATAAAAGATCACAAGAGACAGCGTAGTGTCCAGCAGCTGCCCATCTACTAGCTTGGAAAAGGAAGGAGGGAGCAAGGAGGAGGGGGGAGCAGGGGAGTGACCTACCTTTCTGTGTCTTTGTGGAGAGACACAAAGCTTAAGCACACACAAGGGTGGCTTCATAGGACCCTGCAAGGGAAATGGCCACCCTAGAACAGGATATCAGGACCAGTGCTCAGAGAACAAGCTGATTCTGCAGGATGTGGTATTTCAAAACGTACAGCGCTAACCGTCCTTCAGAGGTGCATATAAGAACTCCGACGTTCAGGTCAGGATTTAACAAGTGCTAAAAAATTAATAATAAAACATTCAGTGAAGGGGTGTGTCTCAAAATATTCAACGTGAATCGGTTGTGTGAACAAATAAAGGATAAAGACTTTTTTAAAAAACTACAAAAAAGATTTGGACTATTCACACATACATCGTAAAAAAGTTTTATTTTATTTTATTCAAATGGTACACATTGTACGCTCATTATTTATTAACAAGAATCACTTTCACATGATACATATATTCACAGTTTATTACATTTTATTAGATAAGTTTATATATTGTCTGTTTTGATGTGTTATGACCTTTATTTGTTCACACAACCGATTCACGTTGAATATTTTGAGACACACCCCTTCACTGAATGTTTTATTAATTATTAATTTTTTAGCACTTGTTAAATCCTGACCTGAACGTCGGAGTTCTTATATGCACCTCTGAAAGACGGTTAGCGCTGTACGTTTTGAAATACCACATCCTAATAGGGGCTGAGTGCCTTTTGTTCAGCGGCTTCCCCTACCCTTTTAGAACAATTTATTTTTATCTATTTATTTTCATCCAGTTTTATCCAATCTAACTTTTATCCATATTGTATTACTCTTAGTATTTCCATTAGCGCAAGTTTTTTGCAATTATTATATTTGATTCTGCAGGATACTAAAACTTTGAAAAAGATATGGAAGTCCCATAGCATTTCTGCACCTTTTTTTGTTTCCTGTAGTGGAGGCACAAATAGAGTGAAAAAAAAATCTACCTTGCTGCTGTCCTCCAATTGAAATGAGATTCTTCATACGAGGTGAAGGACATCTCTGGGCAACAGCCCTCCTGAAAGAAAATGTATAGAATGTTATGTCGTCTCAAGGCCCTCCTAAGCAATGCACCATTCAGAAATTAATTGTAGATATGTGGAACCAGTTGCGTTATCGTTGTATGACTACAGGCCGGTTCACACCTAAGCGTTGTGCAAAACGCACGATACAATGCATTTAGCGTACGCTATTGCACAGTGAACTTTGTGCACTGTGCAATAGTTACACACTAGTTGCGCTGTGCAAATGCGTGCCCTAAATGCACTGGATCGTGAGTTTAGCCTAATGCTCAGGTGTGAACCAGCACTAAAGCTAAACTGGTCTGTGCCCAACTTGACAAGACATACTTATGATTTATAGGAAATGGTTCTGTCATTAGGCCACGCTGATAATTGCAAAACAGACCGATTTACACAATTAGAAGTTATGGATACACTAGTGGCACCCGCAGACTCCACTAACCACACAAAGCACGCTATACTTTTCACAGCTGTATTACAGTGAATTTTAGAAAGAAAAAAATACCTCCTTAGGTTGGGTTAATACCAGAAATGCCTGTCTTGAAGCATTCAGGACTTTTTTTTACAATGCAGTACAACACATTAACCTTATCAGATATTTTAGAAACAGATGTTTATCTTTTCAAACAAAATGCACGGCAAAGTATCCAGTTTGAATAAGTCCTTAATAATTCAAATACAAAATATTCACACTGCTGGCCGTTCTTGATAACTATACTAGAACATTCAATTATGTTTCTCCTACAGTGCTACCTCTTGGTTAAATCTAGCGTGACAGCCTGGTCTTTTTAGTTACACAATGCCACTTTGTGTGGCATCATTTGTTGCAAAACAGACTTTCAGCTCACCAACTGAAAAGCAGCAACAGGATAAAGATCCCACTTTGGTTACGGCATGGTGCAAAAAAAAAAACCTTTAGCACAACATGCATATGTATGCTGAGATAATGTAACTCCTGCGTACATGCACAGGAGTTACATCATCAGCAGCCAACGAGGAAGGACATGAATCTGGAAGAAGCGGTGAAAAAGAAGGTGGCACGGACAGTTCAGTTTAACAGCTCATTTATGGGACAGGATACAGGTAGGTAGGGCTTAGTCTAGTAGTTAAAGCACAATGACAATGTAAACCTGAGTGTGAAAGGTGTACAGAGGTCAGTTTTATAGCAAACAAGTTAAATAGAGATATCCTTGGGCCAAACTATTAAAATAGCACTGTAATATAGAAGTTCTGTTAGCCAGTACATTTCTGAGCTGTGTCAGCTTAGTGCAGAAACTATACTGAGGTAATGCAGTTCAGATGGGGAGCAGGGAATAAGGTTTTTGTTAGAACAATGGCATTGAAGATTTCCTGCAAGACCTTACCCTCTCCGAGTATGTTGTTCATTTAGTTTACAGCTGATGTGTATCCAGCAAAATAAAAATGTTTTATTACTTATGAAATCCAAGGCTTAGTATTTAAAATCACTTCCATCCTGTGGCCAATTTATGTGGTAGAACGAAGTATTCACCAGCACAGCCCCACCTCTAATTACATTTACAAAGCATGTAGTGGGCGGTACCCCGTACCTTGCCTTGTACATGTGCTCCTGAATTCCTTCCCCAAAGCTTACTGCATACGCACAATAGAATTAATAAAAAGCCTGCAAGACTAGTTCTATCTTGACTGCTGCCGTTGCCCATAGCACCCAATCAGTTTATACCCTTCATTTTTTCCCCACACAGCCTCGGTTTTCTAACCTCAACAAAACTCCAGCAAAACAAAACTACTTAATTCTATTGTTTGTCTATAAGATTTATTGTGAAGCTGTACAGATATACACAGATATCAAGAAGAAACCTTGATGCGTTTCTTAAAAGTGCTTAGTCAAATGGATAATACACATCAGCTAGATTATGATTAAGCACTTAGTGCAAAACACGTCAAGGTTTCTTCTTGATATCTGTTCATCTGCATGTAAGTACATCTTCATAATAAATCTTAATGTCAAGCAAGACAAACAAGAGAGTGAAGCAGTTTCGTTTTGCTGGAATTTTTTGAATATACAAGGACCAGTCAAGGTCGGAAAGCTGCAATTCTTGAAATGTGGGGTATGTAAAGCTGGCTCCCTTGCAGCAGGTTGTTGACAGTTTTTCTAACCTGTTGGATCTGTTCAGTGTTTCTGAACACTGGTTGGAAGACATCTGCCTCACCCCACAGACATGAGATTACATCGGAATCCAGCCAAATCATCTCATATCTACAGGCATCTTTACATCAGCTCAGTTTTTTTTCTATTTCTTCTATTCTGTTGATCGAAAAAAAATTAGATATATCCAGTAAAACAGAAAAATGCTATTTTCAACTGGTGCTGCTAGGCGAGATAGTCCTTATTACCCTAGTTTATAAAACGGCAGATGTATACGTTTCATTCAACTGATGTCTAACACAAAAGATTTTCAGGTACAGGAAATACTTACAAGAACTGTCCGCCCTGGGAGAAGCCCATGCTGTTGTAGCCCTGCTGAAGATTTGGGTCCTGTGCAAGCTGATTACAAACAATATCGACCTGACCGAAACTATTTCTTAGATAGGGCTATCAGTTCAAAACAGCTTTCTGACCAAGGTTATAATCAAAGTGAAAGTGATGTTAGTATGGAATAAGTGGAACATTATCTTTATTTGTATGTGCCAGGCAACAGGCAGTTTGGGAAGGAGTCAGAATACTGGATAAGCAGATGAGACCAAATACAGCTTTATTGGAGGTGTAAACATGAGCTCTAGATGTACAATCAACACAAACCAAAGTAAAAGTGGTCATAAAAAATGTCTTTTCATTATCCTGATGACATCTTGAACTCTGCTTTACTTTCTGGTGTCCCAAACATCTATCTTTGTCAGTCACCTTCCCCTTCTTCCACATCTTTACATCTATTGTCAGTCACATTTGAAATGACAGCTAATGTGCACAGGATGAAAGAAATGTTGAAGCATGCAGCCTACTATTTCTGCTGTGTCCGTTTACCCTCAATTCTAGAATGCTGTATAATAGCAGCAGCAAACACAGCTTTCATAATCATACTTTGCCTGTCCCTTTTCGTTGTCCTTATTTCTCTACTTACCAGTAGAGCTACCTATTAGACTCTGTGGCCAATAGAGAAGTGAGAAGAGACGGAAGGGTTAAACTGTGGTCCAAACATTTTAATATCACTTGCCTTTTCTGTAATACAGAACACTAGATTTTCTGAATAAAAAGGCACTATAACAATTAAAGAAGAGGGTGCATTATAATGATCTGATGGCAGAATTACTGTCAAAGCACCACAGGTGCACTTTACATAAGGGTAACACACATTACAGCTAGGAAACAATCTAGGAAATTGTTTGCTTCCCTTTTAATACGCACACTTTTTCTTAATACTACTTAAGAAGACGAACTGTGAGGATAGTCTAGAGCAGTGGTTCTCAACCTGTGTAACCTCCGGACCCATATTTGTCCTTGGCCATTTAGTCGCGACCCAATGGAATGCATGGCATTGCAGTGCCGGGTGTTTGGGTTCAGGCTATCGGACTGTGGGCAGGAGGTGCATTTGGGGTGTCATGTAAATTAATGGCAATGCAAAACACCTTCCGCACCACAACGCGCAGTAGGTGCAATTGCGTGGTGCAGTGCATTAATAGCATGGGACTGTGCAATTAATGCCAGGTACTAGTGTGAACGGAACCTCAAAAACGCTGACAGACACACACAACCACAGACATAATCTCACACACTCACCAAAAAAAAAAACTATAATTATTTTTCGGATCTTAAGAGATCTTCTGAGAACTGCATTGGATCCTCAGCCTGGGGTCCAGTGTGGGCTGCTGTGATGTGACAGAGCTCCATCCATATGTGCATTGTTTGTACAGCTCCCTTGCACACCCTGTATAGGGCACATGTGGGTGCTGTAAGCAATGCATGCTTGGATGGATGGTGCCCCCATCAGGGTGCCCCCTTGCACGAGGTGTCCCCATCACTAATGTAGGAGGGCACTCTAATGAGGACAACTAATGATCAGTTGAGCATTCACTGCCAATCAGCCAGTCATAACCCAGCACAGGTACAGGATCGTGGTCCAGACTGAACCGTCACTCAGTCTTCTATTTAGTGACCCCTGGTCTAGAGGCATGTTTGGATTTTGAGTTTAGGCTACATGGGATATTTTTGCATTGCACTAGTGTGCTACGATTATATAATGTAGTGTTTACTTGTTTGATGAAACTTGAAAGCCTAAAAAAAATTTTCTTCCTTTTTTATGAATAGAGCAGGGTTACACTTAACGTCAGGTTTTTTCCTGTGAAAAGGGATACGAGGTGTCGGCCGGCAAGGGAGTTTTTGGTGACCGAGTTCTAATATCCGCTTTTTAAGATATATGTACATATAAAAAAAAAGTCACTAGTAGTTCCAGCTATAGTTTTTAATATACTATGAGGGGAATCAAAACTGGAGCAGTTGCCCATGGCAACCAATCAGCTTCTAGCTGTCATTTTCAATGCTTAACTGAACAAACTGAAGAGAGAAGCTGATTGGTTGCCATAGGCAACTGCTCCAGATTCTGTCTACTCCAGTTTTGATAAATGTCCTCCTATGTGTATTGACCTTACTCTTTTTTTTATTGGTACTGTAAATACCAACACATGCACCCTTTTAATCCTTCCAACCCATAGTAAAATGTAATTCTCACCTGCACAATGGTGTTTCCTATCTTCAGAGACAGCACGTATATTCCAGGGATCTGCTGCTCCACCAGCTTCTTTATGCCCCCCATACTCATGGGGTTGCAGCAGGAATCGCCTGACCAACATAAAACACACAGCAGTGGATAACTGGACATTGTATTACACAGCCACACAGGTGAAGAGCCTAACCCGACTATTACCCTCCTTACCCATGCCATGCCATATAACCAGCGGGACTGGCGCTCCAGCCTTATCCACAAAAGTTTCTCCGCACACAGCGACAATCCAGACCGCGAACACGACAAACTTCACTCCCTCCATTGCAGTGTGAGCGACACTTCCCTGTATGGTCACATGACTTGAGTCTGGGGTTTCTATCACTTCTCCGGACCCGTGAGATTTCTGGACTTCCGGGGGCGTGTGAAGGTGCTAGCCCCGCTTTGCTCACGTGACCTGTAGAGGCTATATGAATAGAAGACGGGGCTTATGTAATGCACTACTGTACTACTGCAGACAGTAAAGTGTATAGAGACAGCAGTGGGTTTCAAATACCCAGATGCTTCAGCTGTGGCCTCTGACAGCTCCAAAGGACAGCACATAATATTCAGGATATGATAGGAGACTGCAGAACTGCAACAGGGGAGGTTGGAAAGCACACTACAACAGATCAGTGAGAGATTGGGAACATGTTACATGAGACTGCAAGTGATCACTTTGAAAAAATCTGAGCAGACAGGCTCTTCATTACAGAAGAGTCATGCTATGTCTGTTCTGCAATAAAACAAATGTACATCTTCCCAAAGCAGCAAAATTCCCCCACCGGCCAATCAAGATGGCCAAAGACCTGAGGGGAAATTTGTCAGCTCCAGGGAGGGACCATGGCATTGCTGTCATTTGCAGACTTTAGCTTTAAATCCTCTTTCCAATGGAATGTGTGCTGCTGGTGTCTGCAAAGGAAGTACCAGAGGACCACAGGTTGGGCACCAGGGGGATAGACAGATGAGATATCCTAAGGATGATTAAAGGCATTTTATAGCACACACCTAAAAATGTTTTTCTATTTAAGAGGCTTTCTCCAACCCTGGAGCATTTGATTGCTGTAAATCCTAAATAAATAAATTATACCAACCCAGGTTCATTTAGACTAAAAAGTAAACAATGCCCAGCTTGTGTGAAGAGTTGCTCTTATATAACATGTTATTGTATTGTCAAAAAGTTGTGTACTATATATAGATAGCAATAGTTACGAGAGATGCACCAAAATGAAATTTTTAGACCAAAAATAAAAATTTTGTCAGGCTGAAATCAAAACCGAAAGTGATTTTTTTTCCCAACCTTTTTTTTTTTAAATGTAATTATTTTTGTTATTTTACTTTTTTTGTTTTGTTACTTTGCGCTCTCAACAGACCCATGATATTTTCCTTTTAACATAGAACAAGAGATTGACGACGCAAAGTCCTAAAGCTCTTTTTCTGCAGCTCTTGTTATGAATGAAAAGGAAGCCTCTATACTGAGTGCTCCTGTTTATTCATAAACCGTGGAAATAGTAGAGTTACTATGTCCACAATCAAGAATGAACAGGAAGAGATGTAGAGCACTTCATGTTCATTCATAACTGGGAATACAGTAAGCATACTATGTCCAGTTATTTGCAAACACTTAGCGATCAGTCCTGATCGATGAGTGATCGTAACCCATTCTCCATCCTGACTCCTGCCTGTCACAGGAGGCTGAGTGGGGCAGTGTGGGAGGAGAGCTCGGCCTCCTGTGACAACTGACAGCTCTCTCCTCCCCGCTCAGCCTCATGAAAGCTTCTGTCCTCCCCGCTGGAAGCTGGATCGCGGCCTCGGCCACAGGCGGTGGGGAGCAGCAGGCATTTGAGGGGACACAGACCAGTGTCCAGTGGTGAGGAGAGAAGCTGCCAAGATGCACTGAATTTTCAGCCGTTATGGTACTATTGGCATTTTGCCCATAGTACCATTTTTGGCGGCTTAAGTTTCGTTGCATCCCTAATAGTTACTTTATGTGCTCATTCTCTCTAGTGTTCTCTTGAACTGTATGTAATTAGACCAGAAGATAAATTGTACTAAGAACATTCAGTTTTTCCCTTTCTCAACAGCTGGTTGACTCTCACAGAATGAATGAAAACCTGCACTTTCAGTGGATGAATAAGATATGTAAATTTTTTTGAAAGATAATTTCACTTTTCCAGGTGAATTTGGGAAAATGGATTTACCCCTACCAAAGTGCAACCCCTCCACTGCTGTTATCTGTCAACGAAAGCTGCTTCCCCTTAGTGGCTGCTAGTGTAGGACCCCAGACATCGTACACAGCAGTACAGATCTGCGGTCCATATTTTAAATTCTGCTCACAAATGGTAAGCACTCATTGGTCAGCTGACTGTGCTCACCGATGAAAAGCGCTTCTGACTGCGCTGACCAATAGGAAACGCTTCTTAGTAAGACCTCACTGGCAAATAAGGGCTTGTCATTTGCAGCAGAATTTAAAAGAGCAAGTGCAGGGTTGCCCTGCTCTGTACAGTGTAGGATCGTACACTGGCAGCCACAAAGGGGAAGGAACATTGATTGACAGGTAAGGGCATTGGGGGGGGGGGGCAGATTGGTAGGGCAATTCCATTTCTCCCAATACGCCTGGAAAAGTGGGATTACCCTTAAAAAAATTAGACCTCTAAATACCGACCCCCCAATGAAAAAATTATAATGTTTGTAGGCCTCAGTTCCCCAACAGAGGAACAGAGGTGAATAGCGAATGAGAGGTCCTATCACAAGCACATATAACCTGCTTAGTGATAGGAGGCCATCTCAATCGAAACAATGACTTTAACCTAAAGGTAATCACTGCCAGCATTGAGGTTGAGAGGGGATCAACTCTTTTGGTGGTGCTGTGTGCTTGAACACATTCATTTAGCCTTCTGCCAGCCCCTACATAATTTTAGGACACTGTAGTGATGTAGAAGCCAGTGGACCGAACCACAGACCGCAAAGGGGGAGACTATGATTTGTATACTCCCGGAAATTTCGAATTCTACACTTTTTTTAGCTGTCAGTTGCTCTTCATTACAGCAGAGGGTGGCAATGCTGGCAGAAGAAGTGAGTACTCCACTTTCATGAGCAGCTTCACCTTATACGTTTATTCCTGCAACAGAGTCCCTTCAATTATGCTGCTCCAGCCAATTCTTTTTTGTTGTTGTTTTGGATAGAGTATGAAGGGTTAGATCTCTGTCAGGTTTTCACTGTGGTCTGGAGCCACACTTGTGAGATTTCCTTGCACTTTATAGAGTCACATCAGGAAGTAAGTGAAATTCTCACCTTTCACAACTTTCAGTAGGTGTTTTCTAAGGTCCTATTAGAGGATATCTCTTGGAGGGGGCGCATGCGAACGGTGGATCTGTATGGACATGCAGTGATCTAGCTTTGCGCCACCTGGGCACTCTCTCCCACATCACGGGCACACGCCTCCGCTTTTTGCTTCTGCTACTAGCACACCTGAGACCCTAAGACTGGCGGCATACATGCAATATGCTTAAAATGCCCAAACAGAAAGCTAGACAACTTTGGAGATGGAGGTCTCTCGCAGCCTCTCCCCAAGATCCTCCTGCACCGGTCAAGACCACAAGGTTTTCTTTAGCTGACCCGTCTTCGCAGGATAATAGCTTGGGTCAATTCCCCTCCACTCTTCTTTCTACTCCGGATCCGATCGATAACTCTTTACTTTGCTCTATCACCAGGGAGGAAATAGCTACGGCCTTTAAGCAGCTCTTTAAAGAACTCCTGCGCGAAATTAAGGACTTGGGCCTTCGCACCTGCTCCTTGAAACACCGTATGGATGATGCCACCACGGGATTAATTAAGCAATTATATATGTATTGTCTGCACTGTATTAGCAGTATATACTCTATATAGAGTATATACTGCTAATACAGTGCAGACAATACATTTACAATTATACTAACATGAATGTATTAAATGATCTGTATGTAGCACTGTACTATGGATCATTTAACCCATTCATGTTAGCAGAGGATCATTGTAAATGTATTGTTGCAGGCACTCTATATGTACATGTACTATATACTACATATAGAGTGCACTGAACAATAGATTTACAATTATCCTCTGCTAATATGAATGGGTTAAATGATCCGTAGTACATGATATGTAGCCCTGTACCCCCTTTTCCACTTCCTAGAGCTAGGTTATTTTTCTTTTAAATAAATATTAATGTATTTTAATGGTATCTATCTACCAGTAGCTGCCTCATTTCCCACCCTCGGCTTATATTCGGGTCAATACTTTTTCCCAGTTTTTTTGGCTAAAATTAGGTACCTCGGCTTATATTCGGGACGGCTTATACTCGAGTATATACGGTAGATTTTCCCTCAGATATTTTTATGTCTCCTTTTCCCACAAGGCCATGATGAAGGTGTTACTTTCTCCTTATTTTACATAATGGAGAATCCATTCAGCATGTGTAATGCCATCCTTTTCCTTTGTAATGGCCACAGCAGTTGGATACAAATGTTATAAATGGAATTGCAGTTCAGTGAGTAAAATAAGTATTTGATCCCCTACCAACCAACAATAATTCTGGCTTCCTCAGACTGGCTATATGGTACACAGATTAGTCCTGTCACTTTAAGAAGGTGCTCCTAAACAACAACTCGTTATGTATATTAAAGACACCTGTCCACAGAATCTATTTCTTCCATTCAAACCTCACCACCATGGGCAAGACCAAAGAGCTACCGTATCAAAGGATGTTAGGGACAAGATTGTAGACCTACACAAGGCTGAAATGGGCTACAAGACTATCAGCAAGAAGCTTGGTGAGAAGGAAACAACTGTTGGAGCGATTATTCGCAAATGGAGGGAATACAAAATAACCATCAATCGCATGGAGTCTGAAACTCCATGCAACATTTCGCCTCATGGGGTAAGGATGATCATGTGAGGAATCAGCCCAGAACTAAACAGGAGGAGCTTGTGAATGATCTAAATGCAGTTCGGACCACAGTCACCAAACAAACCATTGGTAACACAATACACCGCCATGGATTGAGATCCTGCAGCACCCGCAAGGTCCCCCTCCTCAAGCAGACACATGTACAGGCCCATCTGAAGTTTGCCAATGAGCATCTAAATGATGCAGAGAAGGATTGGGAGAAAGTGCTGCGGTCAGATGAGACAACAATTGAGCTCTTTGGCATTAACTCGACTCACCATGTTTGGAGGAAGAAAATTGCTGACTATGACCCCAAGAACACTATCCCTACAGTCAAGCACGGAGGTGGAAACATTATGCTTTGGGGATGTTTCTCTGCTA